GGGGGGGGCTTATAAGGCCCCATCATGCTGAGCATCCCCCACCACTACCACCACCTCCCAATTCCTGCACTGTCCTTTGCTCCCAGGAGGGAGTCCAAAAGCAAAGGGCAGAATTGGGAAGAAGAGGCAGAAAGAAAACAGGGGGCACTGGAGCTGGGTTCCTCCCAAGCCCCTGCACCCCCAACTGGCAGTTGTTCTGGCCAGGGTCCCCTGGGCCTCACCTTCCCCAGGAAGTGCCTGCGGTAGGCCCTGGCTTCACCCTTGCACTCGAGCTTGTACCCGAACGTGTTGGGGCTGAGGCTGTCCTCTTCCTCCTCCTCACAGATGCTGCTGCCCAGAGAGGTCGGCGTGCCCACATTCTCTGGGTCCTCGATCCAATAGCCCCCAAACTGGGGCAGGATGATCAGTGGGTACGGGCCTCCCTTCTCCACAACCTGGAGGCAGAAAGAGAGTCCTTCTCGGCAGCCTGCCCTGGAGCTGCTGGGGGTGGGTGTGGAGGACAGGTGCCAGTGGTGGTGTCCCCACCCACCGTGAAGGAACCTGGGGATAGTTGAAGCCAAAGGCAGTACATTAACCTCTCTATACCCCCAACCCTGTAGCCCCGGGGTTACAACCCTGGATGGGAACCTCCAGTTTGCAGGTGGGAAAGCTGAAGTCACAAAGTCAAAGACAGAAAGAAGCCTCGGGCCCTCGAGTCCCAGACCCAAGGTCCTCTCCCATGTGGGCAGGGCAGGGCCCCTCACTGTCAGCCCCACCACCTCCCCAGGAACAGGACCCAGAGCAGGCCACAGAGCAGCTGCCAGGGGGCTCCTACCTCGTCGATGCTGGGGTAGGGGATATAGTCATCCTGCAAGACAAACCAGATGGTGCCACATTAGCCCTGGCAGTGCCCTAACGTCTGAGCCCTGTTTCCATTTCCGTCTGCCATGGAGGGTGGGGTGCACTGGGGGCCTCACAGGCTGCACCAGGGCTTTGGAGGAAGAACAGCCAGGGGGCAGCTCTGGGATCCAACATCCACTGAGTTCTTCTCCAAATTGGCAGAACCTGACTGCAGGCCCTGCTGGCCGAGGATACAGTGTGCAAAGGTGCTGAGCTTCTCACCCTAGGACAGGAAGGCGGGAAGACGGCCCCTCGTCACAGCCAGCACCTCTTCTCAGGGCCGGGGCTGGCCTCCAAGGGATGAGCTGCAGCCCTGGACCTTGGGAACGGAACCTGAAGCTGAGCACTGACTGCCGGCTGGAGCCCAGATCACTGAGCCTCACATCCCTAAACACTGTGGGCACAGGGACAGGACGGGCTGGAGAAGGTCCAGGCCAGGCTGCCAAGCTCCACCGCCTGCTCTGAAATGACCCTCGGGATTAAGCCAGCACCCGCTTTGCTGCCATCACGCAGAGGTCTGACAGGGCATAGTCACAGATGTGGCTCTTGGTGAAAACCAGAGCCGGGAGCGTGTGAGCGAGAAGACCCAGCATGCTGGTTGTTCCCCCGCCTTCCTCTCGCCCTGGCGCCCTCTCAAGGCCCACCTGGCTGCCCCTAGCCTACCCAGCCCACCTTGTTCTTCTGGGGTCCTGGCTTCTGCTCCTCGAGCTTGATCCCCTGTGGAAACAAGGAAAGGGGGATGTATGAGAAAGCAAAGGTCACAAAACAGGGGCCAATGGAGGAGTCTCTTGAGCATCTGGCCTGCCTGAGAGTTAGTAAAAATAACAACAGCAGCAACAGCTGGGCCCTTCCACATCACACACTTGTCACTGTCTGTCCTCACAGGAAACCCAAACAGGCAGCTAGGTTAGCAGCACGGACTAGAGCCAGATCACCAGGGTTCAAACCCAGCACTGCTGCTAACTAGCCATGTGACCTTAGGTAAGTCACAATTTAAAAAAAAAAAACAGCTCTCTGAGACTTGTTCTCATCTATAAAACAGGAACAAGACAGAACCTACTGTTGTGGCGAAGGTTAAAGGTTATATTGGGTTAAGCATGCGGACCACTGATTGGGATTCACTAACATATAATACATTACGGGTTATTAGTAACCCAAGGTATTATCATCCTGGAGCTTAAATACCTTCCCTGGGGTCAGAGGCGAGGGGAAGGAGCCAGCACTCTGGCCTTGTGCCCATCAGTTCCACCTCTCCCTGCAGGGAGGGCCTGCTGGTGGCAGGCAGGAAGCCTGGTCCTGGTCCTAATTCTGCTGCAAGCTTGCTTGTTGTGACCCTGACAAGGTGTACAGTCCCTTGGAGCCTCCATAGTGTCCTCTTTAAAATAAGGACTACAACGCCCACCCTCCATCTCACGGATACAAGAATCAAATACAAGGGCTGAATTAAAGGGCTCCACCTACAGGGATCCAGAAAACTCACTTCAGAGGGCAATGTCTTGTCTAGCAGTCCCACAGTCAAGGTCTGACTTAGCTGGGTGTACAAGAGGGTGGGAATGTGGTGTTTCCAAGACTGTTTGAGCCAGTCAGGTGAGGTAAGAGATGGTGAGACAAACTAGGAATAAGAGTCCAGAACTCTTGTTCTCCCCCCGAGAACAAGAGTCCAGAAGCAGCCCCTGCCCAGCCCTAACACAAATGCATCAGGATTTTAACATGGTAAAGTGAGCTCTCTCTGGGTTCCTTTGAGGCACACAGCACCCCTTCACCAGAAAGGAAACCGAGGTCCCAGAGCAGGCTGCTAGCCAAAGGTTGCAGAACTGGTGAGTGTCAGAGCCTGGATCTGAAGCAGGTCACCTGCCCACCAAGTGCATGGCCACACCTCGCAGTCCCTGAACCCCAGGGCTTCTGCTAACTGGGTGGATATGGACACAGCTTCTCTGGACTTCTCTGAGCTGAGTCACCCTGCAGCATTGTTCAGGAGGGTGTGGGAGGGCCCCTCCCACCAGGCAGGTGTTCCTCACACACACACACACACACAGGGAGAAAACTGCCTGGGTGGCCCTGCAGACCCTGTCCAGGTTGGCCGACTGGGCGGAGGGAGTTGGGGGAGTGATGTCAGGAGTTTGTTTTGTTTGTCCTGAATTAGTCATCCCTGCCTGGGAACAGCCCTGAGACAGAAGAGCAAGCCTCCTCCTCTGCCACCTCCTCCCTCCCCCACAACAGACCCACTGCCTGCGCTGGGCCCTCCGCTGTGCGTTGTCCTTGGCAATAGGTATTATCTTTATTTCCCCTTCTCTCCCTCTCCCGATGGAATAACTGAGGCTCAGAGGGGGAAGTGACTTGACCAAGGACCCTCAGCTAGAGGGCACCAGGGTCAGAACCCAAACCCAAGCTGGAAGGGGTTGCCAAAGCTTGTGCCTTTAAGCCCCTCTTGCTTCACAGAGATTGTGCCCTCCTTCGAATTCCTGGACTCCTGGGCTGGGCATCAGGGGTCTTTGATCCTAGCTGCAGATCTTCACAACAGAGTGACCAGGCACTTAATTGCTCTGAGGCTCAGTGTCCACAACTGCAAGGTCAGGAAGACGAGCCTACACCCAAGGACGGGGTCTGGCCACATCGCACGGTGCACTTGATCACCCTCAGTTCCCTGAAGGGACGTGTCCTGCAGACAGCAGCTGGGCCCACTAGTGGTGTGGCGGGCATTCACACACTGGAAAATGTGGCCTCAACAGTCTTAGCGGAGACAGATTCAGCAAACCACCCATGGGTGTCAGCTGTTGTATAGATCCAGGGGGGAACGAGAAACAAGGCCTCTGCTCTTGAGAGACTCCCAGTCTGGTTAGGAAGTCAAGCCCAGGAGCCTCTCAACAGAACAACATGAGGCCAGCTGAATGGGGCTGTATTCTGTGCTCAGAGACGCCCTCTGTGGGGGAGGCAGGGAACTCCCGCTGGGAGCACCCGGAGAGAGAAGGCAGGGTGAGCACATGTCCCCTGCCAGCTTACTGGAGTGCCGGGATCCCCTGGAGGTGTGGCTCTAAGCAATTGAGCACTTAATTACACACTGTCTCCTGACACTCGCTGTCACCACACACGCCATCCTTGTTTCTGCAACTTGATTCTAAGTTCCCTAAGTGCATATAAAGTGAGTTTGTAGTCCACACACCACAGGGCACAGAGGAGCATCTTAGTAACTTGCTCATGACACAAACCCCTAGTAATATCATTCCTTCACAGAGTCCCCCACTGACAAGGTTCCGGCAGGTTCACCTGCATCTCCAGACTGCTGTGGCTCCTTCTCAAGTTGCCCCTCCTCCTCCCAGAACTCCCAGTTATTCCCGAATCTTCCACTCCTGAGCCTGGAACATCTACTGAATGTAAAAAGTATCGCAACACAATGGCTAAGTCCTCTGGCTTTGAAGTTACTCATTAGCCACATGCCCTCGAGGGCTTTATTTCATAGCTCTGTGCCTCAGTTCCCTGGCCTATAATATGGGGGTGATGATAACGCGCCTACTCCCGAGGGCCTCGTCAGATACAGTGTCTATCAATCTCTGTGCTCAGAGAAGTGCTTGAAATGTGAGTGTCATTATCAGCACCTTCTCCCATTCTTTCCACCCAATCAATGAAACGGGCCGGACCCTGGCACATAACGTGTTCCGTGGGGAGCTGCTCTGACCTGTGAGCCCTGACCCCACAGTAGTAATTGGAAAGGACCCCCAAATCTACACTGAACACTGACTTACATGTGGTGTCTACCAAACAGTCACATGTGCTAATCTCATTTCACCCCAGCCACCTTGTAAATTGGTATTTTTATTCTTCTTCATTCTCAGAAGTTAGGATTTCTAGTCCCTGCTAATCTGAAATGTACTTGAAATGCATATAAAGGTAGACTCACTAAAACAGCCCTGCAGCATTGTTTGTAACAGTAAATAATGAAAACAACTTAAATGTCCACCTATAGGACATTGGTTAGAATAAGTGACATTCGTAGCATACACTTGCGCTAATACGTGTTCTGTGCAGGATTTGAACTCAGGTCAGCCTCCCACCCGGCTGCTCTGCCTCCCTGCCATGAGATGACTCCCTTAAGAAGGGGTTTGCTTTTTCAGGCTTCCTTTCCAACTCCTTCCAACAGGCCCTTTTGAGCCCTCCCCACTTCCATGGGGTTTACGGCACCCCCAGCTGTTCTGCGGGGAAATCCTCCTGCTTTTTGCCCTCCCTGTCCTTCAGACAGGACCCTTCCCAAAATGTTCTGTGCCTCTCCACCTCTCCATAGTAAAATGGTCGCAGGCCACTCAGGCCAAGGGCCCCTCCCCCCCCAAGGTACCCAAGTTCTGCCCGTGGGTTCTGCCTGGAGTTGACTCCCCCAAAGCGTGTGCAGCACTCGCACCCCGGCGGTCATTTTCCCACTTTGAGGGTGCTCACCTGCATTTTCTCCAGCATCTCGAAGAACTCTGCCGACTGAAAGACACAAAGGGTGGGGAGAGAGAGACAGCTGTCAGTCAGGTGGTCAGCTGAGAAAGCCTCCTCACTGACTGCCTCGAAGCAGAGCCCAGGGCTTCCCTGGGGACAAAACTCATCTGGATCAAGAGAGATGATTTGATTTGCCTTTGCAGGGCTAGCAGGCCAGAACACCCCTCACAACAAAAGAGAAAATGAAACACTCCGGGCTGGCCCAGGCTCTGGGAGGGCAGCCACTCTGCCTGTGTATGTGTGGTGGGGTGGGTACAGCTGGGAAAAGCCAAGTTCCTCAAAATGCCTGTCATGCACAGGATTTGGCCTCCAGCAGAATTCAAGTTAAGGATGTTTTCAACCCAACAGTATAGAACCAAGGTGTCCACCCCAAGTAGCTTTCCAACTTCTAGAACAACATAGCCTCAGTCTCTTCCTAGAAAATTTCGCTCAAAACTCCAATATAGAAAACCAGTAGGGGATCAGCAGATGGCGTAATGGTTACATCACCGGACTCCCACCTAGTTGACCATGGTTCAAGTCCCAGACCTGGCAGCTTAAATTCACGAGAGGAGAATGGAGGAGAAGGGTCCCCATGGTGGTGGTGGTGTGGGGGGGTGATTTCTTGCTTTCTGTCTCTTTGTCTCTCTCTGTTTCTTTGGAGAGTACACACACCCTATACCAAAAATCTCTCTAAAAAGAAAGGAAGAAGGGAAAGGAGGGAGGGAGGGGGAGGAGAGGGGAGGGGAGGGAAAAGAAAAGAAAAGAAAAGAAAAGAAAAGAAAAGAAAAGAAAAGAAAAGAAAAGAAAAGAAAAGAAAAAGAAGAAGAAGAAGAAGAAGAAAAAGAAAAAGAAAAAGAAGAAGAAAAAGAAAAAGAAAAAGAAAAAGAAAAAGAAAAAGAAAAAGAAAAGCAGTAGGCCCAGCCACGATGGTACACAATGCCACCACTTAGGAGGTCAGAAGCTGTGTGAGAGGCCCAGGTTCGGTTCCCAGGTCAGCCTGAACATGGGAGCAGCTGTGCACACACACCTACAGTCCTAGCTAACCAGGAGGCCAGAGCAGGAGGCTCACCACGCAGGGCAACCCTGTCCACAAAAAAATAAATAAAAGTAATGTCTGTGGTTCTCCCAGTCCCTCTCCCATAAAAAGGAGAAGAAAGGAAGGGATGAAGGAAGAGATGGAGGGGGGAGGGAGGAAACCAGTAAAAGCAGAACTCCTTTGGCAGTGGAAGCTCAAGCCCCTGACATGTCACCTCTGCCCTGTCCCTTCTCCCCATCCTTATTTCCTGTCCCCAAACCACCACTTTAGGACGCTAGAGCTTGAGAATTAAAGACTAAAACCCATGCATCTAAAAACTGCAGCCTCCAGGGACCTGGATAGATTAATTTAAAACTGTCAATCTACATTTGTCCAAACCTTTTTTTTTTTTTTTTGGTAGAGAGAGATTTTTGCTATAGAGCATGTGCGCTCACCCAAGAGACTGAGAGAGACAGAGAGACAGAAAGTGAGAAACCACCCTCCGGAGAGATGGCCATGCCACAATCCCTTCTCCTCCATTCTCCTCCTGGGATCTTGGGCACGTGCACACACATGCCTGCCATGATTTTTAAACCACTAGGTCCAGGACTCAAACCACGGTAGATTATGTGGGAGTCCAGCGATATAACCATTACGCCATCTGCTGGCCCTGCATGTGTCCGAACCTTTAACCAACTTTGGCGGTGCCTTCATAAGCTCCAGGTAAAGACAAAAGGGAGGGAAAGCAAGTGGCATGGAGGGGTGAAGACTAGAAGCGCTACCCTAACAAAATATACACAGCGGTCCTCTGGAGGCCCCCACCTTCCAGTCCATGAAACAGCTAGCTACAATCTCTTGTGCTGATGTCCCTGCCCACAGCTGGGCACTGGCCAGCCACAAGCCCGTGACTGCCCAGAACACACAGGTCCCAGATGAACAGGACAGGAAAGCAAGTGGTGGTGAGGAAGAAGGTGTCTGTTCCTCATCACTTCACCACGCATTTTAGAGCCTCCACTCCTCTTTCCTCTGCAGGTAAGGAATTGGTTAAAACTGCTAGGAGCTTCATGCTCGCATTTTAGAGCCTCCACTCCTCTTTCCTCTTCAGGTAAGGAATTGGTTAAAACTGCTTCCTCAGGATTCTCAGAACCACCTCGGGAAGGAGTCCTGTGGAGTCACCTGAAGAGAACCATTCCTCCAGTCCTGAACTGCTGGTGGATCACAGGCTTGGGTGGAGGGGCTTGGATCTTAATCTCAGCCCACCCTAACCAGGCACAGTGGGGTGTGCTCAGGCGCTCTGTCAAGACAGAGCTTGCAGCCAGCACAGACAACATGGTGAGGTCCCATCTGAAAGAGCTGAGCATGGGGGTGAGTGTCTATAGTCCAAGCTACTCAGGAGGTTAAGGCAGAAGGATCGTGACATAGCAAGATCTTGTCTAAAAATATTTTTAAGAATGATTTATTTTAACTAATTAATTTATTCATTTATTTATTAATTTGACCAGAAAGAGACAGAGAGATAGAGGGAAAGTGAGAAAGCAAGCCACCTGGTCTGAGACTCGAACTGTGGTCGACTATGTGGGAGTGTCCAGTGCCTTAACCACCATGCCACCTGCTGGCCCACCTGTCTAAAAATATTTTTAAATAACAAATAAATAAACATGGACCTCCAACCCAGCAATACCACTTCTAGCAAACTGCATTCTGAAGACACAGTTATAGTAAACAAAGACAGATACAATAAAACATTCATTGTAGCATTGTTTGTAATAGTAACAGATGAAACAAGTTAAATGCCAATCTCTAGGAAATGGATTAAGGAAAGTTACACTCATAAAAGAGATACTATAAGCAATCATATGTCCATAAATCAGGTAAGCTTAGATGAAATGAACAAATTCCTAGAAAGACACAGACTATCAAAACTGGCTCAGAAAGAAACATTAGAATCTAAAAAGACCTATAACCAAGACATTTGATCAGTAATTAAAATACTATCACAAAGAAAAGCCCTGGCCCAGATTGCTACATTTGTGAATTCTACCAAACATTTAAAGAAGGATTAATACTAATTTATCATAATATTAATAAAGTAAAAAGAACCATCCCCAGGTTAGGAGAAAATATTTGAAAATAATTGATCTAAGAAGGGATTTGGATCTAGAATATATTAAAAACTCTTACAACTCAATAGCAAAAAAAAATATTCCTCAATTTCAGAAATGGGATAAGGATCTGAATTAACATTTTCCCAAAGAAGATATACAAATGGACATAAATCCATGAAAAGATATTGAATTTTATTAAGTATCAAGAAGTGCAAATAAAAACCACAAAGAGATGCCACTTTGTATCACTAAGATGGCTATCATTTTTAAAAAGGAAAATTCCCAGCATCAGCCAGGAAATGGAGAAATTGGAACCCTCATGTATTATGTGGGAATCCACCATGTAGGAATATAAAATGGTGCAACCATTGTGGAAAATAATTTGGCAGTTCCTCAAAAAGGTAAACATGGAGTTGCCACATGACCCGGCAATTCCATTCCTCTGTGTGTATATATATCCAAAAAGAAAAGAAAGAAAAAACAAAAAACAAACAAAACCTGAAAACGGCACTCAATCAAATGCTTGTACACATATGTTCACAACAGCATTATTCACACTTGCCAAAAGATGGAAACAACCTAAGTATCCCTCAGTTGATGAACTGATAAACAAACTGTGGCATATCCATATAATGGAATAGTATTCAGCCATAAAAAAAGAATAAAGTAGGCCAGTTCATGGCTTGGTGGTTAAGGTGGCTGGATCTCACATGGCCAACTATGCAGTTCAAGTCCTAGACCCAGCAGCTTGAAAAACCTGTCAGATGTGTGTACATATGTGCTCCAAATCCTAAGAGGATGGAGGGATTACAGTGTGACCACCCCTCCCACAAGGGGGTGCTTTCTCACTTCCCCTCTCTCTCTCCCACAAGTTGCAAATTAAAAACAAAGAATGAATAAAGTACTCATATATGCTACAACAGGGATGAACCATGAAAACATTGCTAAGTGAAAGAAGCCAGAGACAACAGACTTCATTTATAAGATTCCGTCTATATGACATGCCCAGAATAGGCAAACCCATGGACATAGAAAGGAACTGGTGGTTGTGAGGGCTGAGGGAAATGGGGGATTGGAGGATGACAGCTAAAAGGTATTGGGCTTCTTTTCGAGGAGATTAAGATGTTCTAAAATTGATTGTGGTAATGGTTGCACAATTCCGTGAACAGAGCAAAAACCACTGAGCTGTACAAGTATAAGAGGTGACTCTAGGTTATGAGAATTAGATCTCAATAAAGCTGTTCAAAAAAGTATGTGGTCATTCAAAAAGAAAGCAATGGATACATCTTGCTTGTGTAAGATGCTCTCCAAGATATATTAAGTTAGAGGAGGGAGAAAATCAGAGAATAACACATAGACGATGACCCCACTTTTATAAAAACAATTTTTTAAAAAATGCAAAAATAAACCTAAAGTTACCTTTATGAATGTATATAAATGCATAGAAAATCGGGAACCAGCAGTTAGCGTAATGGCTATGTCGCTGGACTCCCACGTAGTCGACCGCGGTTCTCATCCTGGACCCGGTGGCTTAAAACCCACGCCAGGCGCGTGTGCCTGCGTGCCCAAGATCCCGAGAGGAGAATGGAGGAGAAGATATTGCAGTGTGGCCATCCCCTCTGGGGTGTGATTTCTCACTTTCTGTCTCTGTCTGGGGGGGGATTTCTCGCTTTCTGTCTCTGTCTCTCTCTGTCTGTCTGGAGAGCGCACACGCCCTATAGTGAAAAACCTCTCAAAAAAATAAAATTACCTGGAACAGGGGAGGGACTCGGGGAAAAAAATGTTTAACACAGAATTCGTGTACACAAGGTAAATAAGTTGTGAAACAGTATACCATATACATATACAAAGACATTGCTAGGAGACCACAGATGGCATGATGGTTA